TGTGGGTCTGTGGCCCCATTTCCAGTGACAACTGTGCAGTGAATAATCTACAACAATTACAACCCAAAAAACTGGAAGCTGATTGACAAACTCATCCCACTTCAAAATTCCTGAAGCCCGAAAGATTGCTTCGGTGCAGTGAAACACACGCTTGCGAGTATTTTATTGGCATCAGTGGGACTTAAACGTAAACCCAAGTGTGTTCCTAAATCTGGGACTGGGAAGGCAGAAGTCTCAGAAGCAATTCTGAGGCAGCTGGAGAATGTTTGTAATTACATATAAAGTGGTTTGATCCTCTTAGTTTCTGAACCACTGGCCCCACTTCAGTTTCTGGTGAAAGCTCATCTGCACCAAGGGGTTCAGCAAATCTCAGACCTGCTCGCTATACGTTGCAGCACTGAGGCCGGGCTTCTCTGTGTGCCGTCCAAAATGCACCTGCAGCGCTGGCATTTCAGAGGTAGGCTCCCATGGATGAAGAAGTTCCTTTGCAATCCTTGACTGTGATTGCTTTTGAAATAGTTATTTTTTTCATTAACTAGCCAAGATAGGTTACTGGTCTTACTTTTTATAATTTCACTTAACTTTTTACTCAGACTGTATCCCTCTGACCTGAAACAGCTCTTTTCTGAAGAAATCTGGGAGGTTTTGAACAGATGTGGAGACATGACAGAATTCATTTAGAACATAATCAACAGATAATAATAGGGTACTCAGAGAAATTGCAGTGAATGACAAGTACCATCAGCCTTTTCAAAACAGCAAAATTAGACATTTTTAACTTCACATGCACAACAGTGTTAGAAGAAGCAGGAAATTACTAATTTGGAATCCTTTTATTATGTTCTAGTTTTTAAAAAATGATATTGTAACATTCTCAAGCATTATCCTGATACTTCTCTGCTCGCTGTCCCTATAGGAAATAAAATACCATTCCATGTGTTATTTGAAGCAGACTGGCTCTCTTGTGTACTTAGTTGTATCCTTCATCTTCCTCCCTGAGGCTTGACAGTACTCAGCTTGTCAGGATGAGGCCCCAGCATCCCTCACGTATGATTTGCAGTTTTCATTACTGTAAAGATCCATCTGTTTTATGAAACTCATACTCCTCAGACTTCTATAATGTGGTAGCTAATCGGAGTACTCAGGAAGGTTTGGGTTATTGTCATTGCCTCTGTCTGTTTTTGCAACGCTGCCAAGAGGACTGATGTGGATTTTGTGTCTCCAGCTGTAGGTTTCTTGTTGCAGAGGGAGGGAGGACCCCCACTTGCAGCCCACCGCCTGGCCAGGCTTGAAACCAGGATGGTTCCTCCCAGAAATGTATTTAGACCGGGAGAGCCATGAAGTGCCTGGTTTGGGGGTCGAACCCGGCTGGCAGAGGCAGTGGTGAAGTGGGGACTGGCCCTTTGCACCCCAAGACACAGTGGCCATCTGCCCCTCTGTCTCCTGGCAGAGTCACCAGGGGTCCTCAGGCCTCTGATCTTCAAAAACCTTGGTGTAACAAAAAATAACTCGAAATGCATTCTGGTTCTCCTTCACCTCTTCCTCCTGAGTCTTCCACCTCTCACTAACCCTCGCCCTGGGGCTGCAGCCTTCTGTCCTACGCAAAAGGACACGACTGCCACAGCACTCCTTTGTGCAGGGTGTGCAGGATCTCAGATGCTTCCAAATGTGTGAAATACAGGCAATTCATACAGCACTCGCACATGCACCGATAGAACTTGCAGGCTGCTTGTAAATCTGCTTGGCTTCCTTCAGTTTTTTGCAGTGCATCATGACTTGCAATTCAGTATTTTATATGCAGATAGGTCATTTCTGCATGCGTCATCAAAGCTACACTATGCAAGCCAGGGTCAGGAGAAGCGTGGCTGTCAGTCTCCTGCTAATCTCAGTTCTTAGTAAAGATACCTTCAATAACCTGTGCTTGTAAAGGGAAAGACACTGGCATTAGGGGAGTCACTGAGTGGCTGTGTTCTCACCGTCAGACTGAGCAGGATTTTCTATGCTGACTGTGAGCATTAAGGAAGCCAGAACAAAGATGACAAATGCTTTTGTAAGAGGGATCATCAGAAGACGCAGCAGGTTCAGTGATCATTGAGGCTTGTCTTAACACATGAGCAATGTCTCCTGAGAGCAGTAAGCTGCTCTCCTGCCTGGCTGCAGATTGGCTGGAAGGCTTTTTAATTTTTCTTTTCCTTTTTCCTTTTTCCTTTTTCCTTTTTCCTTTTTCCTTTCTCCTTTCTCTTCTCTCTTCTTTCTCTTCCTTTTTTTCCTTTCTCTTCTCCTTCTCTTCTTCTCTCTTCCCTTCCCTTTCCCTTGCCTTCTCTTTCCATATCTTTTCATATCTTTTCATCTCTTCTTTATACAGCCTGTATCTTGGGTAGATTGTGTTGCTCCTTGTGTCTACTTAAAAATTGGAGTAAACAATTTTGAACAGAAAAATCATTCGTAGTCTCTGCAAATGTACAGAACCAGTAAAAACATTAGGCTTGGAGACGTGAATAAAGTTGGATCTTGGTGGAGTTTGCCAGCTGGGAGCCTGCCATTGACAGTTGCTTTAGAAGCACTTTTCTAGTTGCTAACTAAACTGCTTTCCTTAAAGAAAGCAGAAGAGGAAAAGTAATCTGAGCTAATACATACTAGTTGTTCCGATGATGTGGAAATGGTGATGAGAATTACCTAAAATGTGCTGGCTAAGGGATAAGCTTGTGAACTTTGCAAACAGTACATAGAGAATGGTATTAAAGCTTAGCAGAGTTCTCACTCTTGTTTTTTTTAAACCTGCTGGGCTAATTATGTGTCTCCATTATCTGTGGCAGCTAGGTATTTCCTTCGCAGCCTACATCTATTTTCAGATCTATCTATATTTGCTGTCCTTCACAATTCCTGCAGTTATTTCCAGGCTGATATTTTTGTTTGGGCATCTATTCTCTCAGTGAACAGACAAGCTTTCTATTTATTGAAATTCATCTTGGTATGGTGAAGATTAAAGCATGGAATTGATTAGAGACGAGCGCTTTGAGTCCATAAAGTACAATCTGTCTTTCATTCACATTTCAGACCTTGCTTCACCCCATATTTGATAACATTCACTCTGCAAACCCTATCTCCACAAAATACTTAGGTATTAGATTTAGATGTAAATGTACAATTATTTTCTACCTGAACCTTGAGGACATCTTAAATCTTAGTGCACTAAACTGGCACATTTATAGAAGTCTCAGTGCCTCTGTTTCTGCAATGAGGCATGCACCTGCTCTACCAGAGATAAACACCTGCTTGTTGTTATATTATGTCTCCTTTTAATGAAGATTTGAAGTTCTTGCTGATCTCCATTTATGAACACCCCAATTAGAACATGCAGTGTGATTACAGCACTCAAGGAGGAAAAGGGAAACCCAGATTTCAACCTTTTTGATAGATAAGAGGATATAAACATACAAGCTCCACCTTGCAGAAGGTCTCACCACTAAAATACAGGCTCTTCCCCAGCTCTTCTCCTCAGCCCTTTCTCCTGAACACCTATCAGAAATAGCATCTCCCCGTTTCTGTGAGTATGTTCTAATCTCAGCCCTGAAGGTCTTTCTGCTTCCCTGCGACTACTGACATTTTCTGTGCTGAGTGCAACAGCTCTTTATAGCCCTCAGCATATGGGAAAGCACAGCAAGTCAAGCTGGGGGACGGACACACTAGAAGTAACCTCAAACCTCTGACAAAGTCATTAAACCAACTTATTTAAAAAATATTCATTATCAAGAGCATCTCAGTTCTGAAGGGGAAAAACTGTCCAAAGAAATTTAGCCACCTCTAATAACACTGTGGTTTAGACACTGCTGTTCTGCCTAATTAATTAATGTTTGCACAGTGCTTTGAGATCTTTGCCGAACAAGGAAGGCTAATATGTTGCTATGTGTAAATGCTAGAATTAATAATTTAGAAACTATAGGACTACAAAGCCAGGTTACTCTTATCATTTCATCAAAGCCAGGTTTAACTATCTTCTTTTTTTGGCTGCTTGCTTAATTAGATAAGCTGCTGAATTTAATTAACTCATCAAACCTAATTTGAAAAGATCTCTCAAGTCAGTAAGAGCTTGTCTTCTGCTTATTATTTCTATTTGTTGCATCGAGTCTTTAATATTGCCATTTTGTTAGGATATTAATGGTAGCCTTAATTGTATTCTAATTTATTGCATTTACTCAGGTGGTGGCATTTTCCTCATTTTTTAAGTGTCAGCACGTGACAATCAATCACAATTTAATTTAAGGTAGTGAAATTGCTCTTTGAGCCCTCTATCAAGTTAGCTACATACTATCTCTTTTCCCACAAGTGTAATTTGGGTTTTCAAGGTGAAATTATTTCATAGGATATAGCCTTGAGTTTCTGAACTCCCATTTCTTGGAGAAGTGGGACAAAAACTACCCTCTGGATGCTCTTTTGGGACTGTTTAACCAAATTGTTAGGTAATAAATTTGAAACTGAAATTGATATTACAGCTATATAATTCTATTGAACACATCTGTGTGTTATGCTACGGCTTGTCACACCGGACTGAAACTCCTTGAAAGTTACTAAAGAAAGAATTATTATTGAAGAGTCTAAAATGTAGAATCTGAAATGTAAATTCTAACCTGTTAGCAGGACATTTGTTTGGCCATCTTTTCACACTCCTAGAAGATATGCCACACAGAGAGGAGAGGTCAAGCGATTGCTTAAAATCAGAATTTCCCTATAAATTATTTACTACTTGTTCTGTAAAATGTGTTCTATTGTAATGTAAACTATGTTGCTGATTAAATGTTGCTAATTAATTCTGGAGTTGTTCATGTATATTTGTGAAAAGCTAGCTATGTCCTGGGTGAAATCAAGTGCTTTCTTGCTCCAGCCAGTAGTTTTGCAGAAGTAACCTTGCTCACAATTGTGCTCTCTTGCTTTTTTTGTTTGTTTGAGGTGTGCTTTCAAGTGCACAATTAAATAACTTGTGTTTCTCTGTGTTCCCTTAGAATGACTATAGGAAGCTATCTATGCAATGCAAGGACTTTGTTGTGGGGGTGCTGGACCTGTGCAGAGACACCGAAGAGGTAGAGGCCATTCTCAACGGAGACGTCAACATTCATCTGTTCCCTGAGCACCACCGGCCAAGTCTCAGCAGGATTAAACTTGCTATTAAATACGAGGTCAAAAAGGTAAGTTATTTCCTTGGGCCCCTGGTGGATACATCTTCACATCTCAATTATGCTTCTTCGATGTCACCTGGAAAACAATAAACGAAAGATAGATTTAGGTGGGACCAGGAATTGTAGCCTTTCATGGCATGATTTGCATTTGCTCACATACTTCAATGTGGAGACGGATATTTGCAGGGGACGCATTACAGCAGGTATGGCATTTATTTTCAAGTGATAGATGTGAATGTGTAGATGGCACAAGGGACTGCCCATAGTGCACAGTGCTTCTTACACAGGTCCTGACTATGAATCTGTAAAGACTGCTGCAGGGACCAAAAGTTGTTACCATACCAAAGTAAGGGTCTTTCTTCCTTCACTGTGATTTACATGAAGGTAGGGGATAAGCCTAGTAGATGCTGTGGCATCTTTGGCCACAAATTGTAAAAGCAGAGAATTTAATCCAGCTCCTCACCTCACAATTCCCCAACCATCTGTCTTCCCTTCAGACTAGAGCTTCTGCTTAGACTGGGGAAATGGCTGGACTCTGCAGCCTGGTTGAACTCAACAGACCAAGTCTCCAGTCTCACCTGTCTGCTCCCAAATGCTCCCTGACCACTCAGCTCCAATTCATGTCTTGTTTTAGTCTCCAAAGCCACTTGTAACCATCACAAATGTTACCTTTTCTGTAATACTACAGAAAGAACATATGTAAAAAGTAGCAATTTTGTCATAGTCAAGACCCTTTACTGCAGCGTGATGGAAAGTGGAATTTACGTTTTAAAAAAAGTTTTCTAATTTTTATTCAGAATTAGATTCAAACCTGAAAAAATCAATTTCCGATTAACTTGGAATTTTGAATTTTTTTTTGAAAGCATTTGAAAGTAGATAAACCTTGATAAAAAGTGACAGATTCCCAGCTTCCACTCTCCTAAAGCTCCAGATCCCTATTCTAAGAGTTCAGATTTCCACGAAATCTACAAAACAGAAGGCAAATGTATATTTTAAGGAAAAGCATGAAGACTGAATGACTTTTAGAAGTATTTTAAACAAACATTCAGCTTTACGGAAGTATGTTCTGTGAACGGAAAATTTGATTCTGGCAAATCCTAGGCCTGGGTGGTCCCAATTAATTGCTCCTACAATGTACTTTGATGGAAACTGGGCTCCTGCTACGGGACTTGGAGAGCATTCCAAATTTTCAAGCTAACATCTGCTCTCTCTTTCCCCTCCCAAACCCACCACCTGCTTCAGTTTGCCTCTTGACTGTGTTGCTGTGCTGGCCAGAGAAGGTCTTTTCCTGTTATGAAAGCCATTAATTAAAGAGAATCTTAAAACTCTTATTTGGAATTAATTGCTTTCATGCAGGAGCACATGGTATGGAGCCAAATATTTCCTCCTAGGATGTTGTGTATCTGCATTGTTCCATCACCAAAACTGAGCATAACATCTCAGTTCACTCTTAGTTAGATGACTTTCAACGAGCTGGGTCAAGTTTAGTTATTGAAGCTGTTGTTTTGGTAACAGGAGGCCAAAGTTGCTGTGGTGCTCTTTCAGAAAATGAGCTCTTCTGAAAGACACTGATAGCCCCTCATCAAGGAATAGTCCCCAGTGACCTATGGTCTAAGAATTATCATGAAGTTGGTCAGAACCTCAAGCCTTTTCAATGTATGAAGTCTTCTGCACTATTTTGCTTGTTTGTTCTTCTAAATATTTGTGTCATCCTTTAGATACCAAGACCATTAGCCGGAGCTAAATTGCTGTTAGTTATTGTGCTGCTTTGAGCACATTCATCCTAGCTTAGCCGGTTTCAGAGGAACACTTACTCCAATTCTTACATTGTATATATGTGCACCTTTTCAGAACGCATGAACACTGACCTAAAGCATCTGTGGTAGGTCATATACAGTTGATCTTTTTATGTATGAATATCTCCCTATACCCAGGAAACCTGAGCTTCCTTTCTGGATCACAGCAACTTGCTGCTCATGGATAATAACTGGTAAACTATAATTAGAACTTAAACATGATCATTCATCAACCTCATGTTGACTCTCAGGTTAGCACTTTTCAGAATATTCTTTTCAGCATGCAGTATATATCTACGTGTAAGATGACCATTTAACTGTTAACTCAAAAGTAAGGTAGTTCCATTTGTGGGAGGCAGAGACACATTCAGATAAATGGCTTTGGCTATTGGCAATGACTTATGATAACAGACTGGTATTTATCACACTTGCTGAACAAAGAGATTGTGTTATGGTAACACAGTAATGATTTCCTTAAGAGGCAATACATTTCAGGTACAAGTTTTTTATCCAGCTGAGGGGTATTTGGGCTTTTGTAAACAAACCCGGTGCTTTGAAATCTATTTGCATTTTAAGAAAATCCTATAATAGAGAGAGGTGAGATGGAGGGTAAAGTATTATATATATATAATAAATCAATTCTTGGACAGACTCTGTAGATTTCAGGTCTAATGCAATGACTCATAGGCGTAAGTGAGATGGCATGTGGCCCTCCAAGTGTGAAAGGCGGACCGAGGCAGGCGCACCAAGTGACTTCCCCCCGACAGTGCCCAAACCCCCAAGCCCCATCACTTGGTCTGACAGTGCTGCCTGCCCAGGCCAAGTTTGGGTGCTGAGACATGGGTGGCCGTAACTCACCCAGAAACAGTCCCAGGAACGTGGAGACCTTTTCAGTTTTTTAACTGCACCCTGGGACTGGAATGACACAGAAATAGTTGTGTTTGCCATTTTTTTTTTTGTCCTGGAAGTTTAGTTGGCAGGGTAGGACTAATGAAGGGACTGTAGATGTGCCTGACACCCCTGCTCCCCACCTCTACCATTAGCATCAATATTCAGAAGATCAGTTTTGCATTCTCCAGCTCAGCAAGCTCTAGATGAGCCAGAGAAATAAAGATGTTCTCACTTAAATGCGTATAGAGCTCCTGAAGTATTTTAATTCATTTTTTTCCATGAACAGCAAGAAGAATCCTAGACAAGACATTAGGGACTTCAGAGTGGCCTGAGAAAATAAAAAAAAAAGAGGTGTTAGTTTGTGTTATGTTTCCATTTTTTTTTTCCATTAAGTTAGTATCCAGACTAAATATTTGCATTCGCATCTGAAATTTTAAGAAATAATTTCATGTTTAAAAACATCTATTTCTACCATTAGCTTCTTAATTCACATTTCCACATTAGTACTCTAAGTGCCTACAGTAGGCTTCCTTTGATGAAACTTTGCAGACAACAATTTATATTGAAAATTATTATTTAATATCCATGATTTTAATTTACAGCTGCTGATGCAGTCTGCATTTTATCACACTTTTATTTCCACAGGCTGGGAAAGACGTCAAGGGCTCCCATCCTCAGACAGGAGAACAATTGCATCTGTAGAGCTTCATCAGGCCTTTGCACAAACTTTTAAAATCTTCCTTGTTCTTTTGAATTTCTCTGTTACTTCATTGTCCTCATACAGTGCAGTCACCACAGCCACAGTGTCCAAGAATGGTATTTTGCTTTAATAGTAGCAGCTGGTCTACCAGCTTCTCCCACCCCCTGCCCAGCTCACAGCACTCATGGAATTGTCCTCCCCCTCAAAGGCCAATGGCCATGGAGGCCAGGAGGAGGCAGAGATAGCAGAATTTTGAAACTGAGAGCCATCACACTGCATTTTATGGATTTAAATCAACTCTGCCATCTTTTGTCTTTTTCTTCTTATGTGCCCATCTGAAAAGTTTAGGGATGCAATTGATGCTACATATACACTTTAAATTTTAAGTCTCAATTTTGGTTCCAACACAGTATATTCTTGATCTTGAATTCAGCAATTGTGTTCCCCAATAAGTCACACTTGGTTGGAGGTAGAGGCTGCACCTCCCTTGCGTGTACAGGGCACGCCACGCCCACACAGCAGGGAGCTCAGCCGTCAACCTTGTGGTAGCTTCTAGCCCAAAACGCTGTGCTGCTTGTGCCTCTAGTTTTGAAGGGCAAATTCCTGCTTGAAAATCCCTAAGTCTGGGGGCAACCTGCCCTTGAGCTGAATGTTCACCCACCTATTCATTGATCATGCTCTATTGGTGCAGTAAAATCTTGTATGCACATCAGGGCTAAAAAGGGCACTGAAGCCTTCTCACTTCTTCTACTCAGTAAACCTGCAACTGGTACCTACAACAGGTTTCTGTCCAGGCCCTAAATGACCTTTCTCTGCACTTTTTCCTTTGCACTTCCCATTAGAGTTCCCTGTTACCTTGCCCCTTTGCTACTCCAAAAAACCAGTTCTCCATTCAACTGAAAGGACACAGTTTTATTGATCATTATCTTTTTTTTCCTAATTTACAATATTTGAGATGAATCTTGGAAAGTCATTCAAGAAAGCATCAAAAGTTCCAGACTTCACCTGTCTGCCTCTTTTTTCCTTTTTTCTGCAAAGCATGCTACTAGCACATATGAGATGCTGGCAAGAAAACAAGTTTAAGGCTCCACTATAATTGAAGGACTTTATATAGAAGGTCATTGAAGAATTAAGAAACTCTGCTTGTACATATTTCGCAGCAAGGAGAAAGCTAAAATTACAGTAGTTTACCAAGTGGTCTTTAAATATGCTGTATTACTCTAATTCTCTACTCTTCCTGAAAGAACTAAACAATCACTCTGTACCCCAGGATTCTTGGAAAAATGCACTCAAATGTCCTCCATTCAAGTTTTCCAGAGTCATTCTCCCTTCAAATTAGCTGTCTTAATGATTCATGATTCTTCAAAAATTATTACAATGGGAACAGTTTGTCAAGAGCAAAACAAACATTTGCAAACATTTGAGCATTTACTGAGTCCTGGATTCTTTCCAAGAAATGGACTTTTAGCCCATGTTATGAGATTGTTGTAAATTTGCTATTGTCTCCCCTGACATTATCTAGCTCCGCTTCGCACTTGCATACTCCAGTCAAGGACCGGTTTCTTTCTCCTCCAGCTGCGCAGGGCCTCTGGCAAAGGGAGGAGAAAGGTCCGGTGCAGGAA